AAATCTTTGGAGGTTTCTAACAAAAACTGATGATAATTTTTCGAGAAAGATTTTAATGAATTTTTGTTATACATATCGGTTTAGGCTAGCTTATGCAATAGCACTTTGTCCAGTCTATCGTTGAAGGTCTCGGTTAAAAGCAAAAAACAATACCCCATCCTGATAAGCCAATGCAGACAAGTGGGGTAATTGTGAGTGGTAACTTATAAATGCCTATACTCTAGTCCAGCACCTTCCAATAAGCAGTCGTCAGACATACCCGCACTTTCGTGAAGTCACTCTCTCCGTGCCTTCATCATGACACGTAGAACAGATCGTCTCGTGTTGATCCTCATCGTAGGCATTCTCTACATATCCTTTGCCAACGGCCAAGGTAAGTTGTCCACAACGTAGAAAAAAATCCGTCACATACCTTCACTCAATCAATTCTGTTGATTTCGTTGCACTAATTGAAAATAATCTCAGTTGTACATATTAAGGTGAGAGATTGATTGTTATCCCAGGTAAGAATTCAAAAGGCTGAAGATCAGAACAGACCTGGGAAAGCCTTAGCTCACTCAGGCTGAACACCCAGATCTGACCCGTTCAGGCCTAGACCTCCAGCCTGGAACGAGCTTATCATTTCGAGGCTCAATGAGGCTTGATCCAAGGCTGAACTCCAGCCCTGAGTGAGGATTACCAAGTCCTCGTTCAGGGCTAGGAGCCTATCCTCATCGTCAATTCTAACCTGGGATAGTGAAGTAGAAAAATGAAAAAATTTCTGGCTCAGTTAAATAATTAATTGCCCTGGATTCACAGCAAGGGATCCAGCAGCCGTCAAGTCAGACACCACGTCCAATGGAGTTGTTGGTGAAGTACTTCTCTGGGTAAATCCTATCACCAAACTCTTGCTAGAGTACGTCAATGCCATGCTGATCCGAAATAGGGGTGTCAAATTGCCCTGCACCCTCTACAATCCTACCAAATGGGACTGGGAATGCACTCCAGTACAAAAGTAAAATCCCCCGATATTCCAAAATATACCGACGATTCATAAGATAAGACTTATTTTTTTATAATACAAAACGCATCAATGACTTAGATTTACATAATTTAATTATCTGTTATCTTAATTATTCATGTATTAAATAAATATGCAATATGGTACCCTCAAGGTTTCGATCATTTTTTTTCTACTCAAACGAAAAAAAGTTCCTTCATCTTAAAAATAAATTATGATTGCAGATAAATTTATTCACATTAGGGAATTTTTATAATGAAGAAACGTTAGCAACTTGTAAACTCTTCCAAAAATCCGCCAATCCCGTGAATGTGAAATAAACAATCACGGATTTGATTATTATTGATAATAGAAAGTAAATGAAAATATAAATTATTGCTGGAACCAGGTAAAAATACATAACGGTCTGTCTCAACTGATAATTCTTGTTGATAAATTATTGTATTTACACATGCTGTACATGTGCAATTGAGGAAGAGGTGGCCCCAAGAAAATGACAAGAAAAATAGAAAAGTCATTAAAATAATGGTTTCCCGATGATATCGCACGCCGAGTGTAGCGAAAAGTCGTCATTCCTTCGTGCATTGATAAGAATTTGTCGTATGCGTCATGCGAAGAAAAATATGTTAAAAATAATGAAAAAAGCGTGCGTGCGAGTGTTAATTATTCCTAATATTCTTGCAATAATTTCAATCGTTCCTGCGGGAAACACGAAAATCCCGATGCCAAGTCTCGAATCCGGAGTCCCTGAAGAGAACGTTTCTTCTGGAAAATTCATCTGTCTCTAACCGGAAAGTAAAGAAAACCTCAAGCAAGTGTCTCGTATATTTTAATATTAACGACAAGTAACTCAAGTAAATTAACACACAAGTTGTCGTATTCTTCATACGATAACAGTCGCAGTAGTAGGGGGACATGTGCTGGTGATTCAGACTAATTGGAACATTGCCTGTGCACCTGCTTTGCTGTACACAATGTCAACTGAAATTCGTAAACTATTTCTGGTATTATTCATTGGAATACTGTCGGCATCTTCAAAATCTGACGATGGAGTGATCACTGTACCATCAACGGACATTCCCAGCGATGGAAAAGGCATTATACCAGGTAAGCTATTCCATTTTAATTCAAAGCCGATCATAGCTATTAATTCTTCACTCCTCAATTCTATTGCTCAATTGACGATATTCTATAAAAAAGTAATTGGAATTCGATTGTTCTACGCGATTTCTACAGAGATACTTTCTCTAAAATTTTTCTCTAGGTTTTCTTAATTTTTCTTGGTTTTTTAATTTTTTTTTTACAAAAATTGAATTTATCAAGCTTAAGAAATTGGAACTGACGATATTCTGGAGGAATTCTACCTATCGTATGAATTCTATAGAATAAAAATCTATTTCTTATAGAAAAATAGAAATGAATTAAATTTTTCTGCTGAACATTTTCTATTGAACATTTTAAATTGAATCAAAAAATAATAAAAACCCTACAGTCTATAGAATTTTCTACTTGACAATTGTCTGGAATTTTCCTTCCAGCTGGTGACGGCACGTCGAACAACACCTCTATGACAGTGCCTCCAGGTCTGTCGTCAGTACCTGGATTATTCGGTCTGGTGTACCGCGTCACCATTCACCCGATGATTGTCTTCCTCCGTTTATTCCTGGATCCGATCTTCTCACTTCTCCGGGGAGTGGTAGGCCCAGTTCTCGCGATAGTAAACTATTTGCTGGGGGAATTGGGTTTACCAAGTCTGGGGGAGCTGCTGAACGAGCTCCTGATGGGCCTTCAAGGTCACCTAGGGCGCATCCTGGGAGAGGTTTCAGGTTTCGTGGGGACTCTTTTGGGTCCCCAGAACAACAGCCAGCCCCTCTCAAGGAGGAGACGGTCAGTGATGGGTTTCCTGATGAGTCCTATCACTACTCCTCTGGGCTATGCCTGGAGTATAATCTCCATGCCCTGGAGGATCGCCTCCGCCAGCACTAACATGGTAACCACTCCGCTCTACTACGGGTACCGATTACTTTCGTATCCTCTCTCTGGGGCTGTGGCGGCGGGAACCTGGCCCACCAGACGTATCCTCAGGTTGCTGGGCTTCGGTGGCACGAAGGAGACGCTTCCTAATGGTCAGGAGGGCCCAGAAAAGGACCCCATTGATGATCTCCTGGGGAGTCTCAGTGAAAGTGCGCAGGACGCCCTTGCTGAGGCCCTTGTCAAAGGCTTTCAGCTCATGAAGAGCGATATTTTACCAGCTATCGACGCCGCTGCAGTTAATTATCAGGACTCGGACATGGTACCTGATTCGCTTAAGGACTATATGAAGAACTTTCATCAGGTTTATTCACTACTCCACACCCTTCGCGTTCTGTAAACCTGATCTCTTTAGAGGTGCAATAAAAATTCAACAGGCATTCATAGATTATGTCTCTATCATTACGTGATTTTGAAAAATAGAAAAAATGGAGAAGATGTTAATTGGTACAATTTATATCTTAAAAAATCGATATAATATCTGTTTTATAGATATTTTTGTATGTATATTGTTTATAAATTTTAAAATATTTATAGAATTCGTCATATTATTATATATATTTCGGAATATTTTTTGATGGGGGAGTCAATGAAACATGAACAATTGATTTCGTCATTACAGATAACAATTTTCATTTTGATGCAATAAAAAAATCAGTGAAATGCACTTCGTGCATGCAATTTCGTGGATGGAACTGAGAGAATTGGAATGTCACAGATTTATTTAATCTTGATCGATCTCGCTAAGGATTGATTTTGAAAGAATGTCTCAATAGATGTATTATGGAAAATTCAATGAACAGTTGATAAGAATATTATTTCGACTTACCTGACTTTGGCTTTTCACTTCGGAATTAAAACGTATGAAAAATAAAATAAGAAAATATGGAGAGATGTTGCAATATGTCCTCATTTATTTCAAGAATTGGTCTACACTCGGGAGAATAAAGGAATAAATAACAATAATTAATCCTATCTAAAATAAAAGAAACGATGTTCCGTTCCCAATACAAAAAACATCAATGACAGACTAATAAAATCCCTGATCTATTGCTTGACACCACCGAATAAGAAGTCCATGAAAGGCGCCCACGATAGATCCACGAAGAACACTACCAAGCTCTTAATGGGTCCAGGTAGTATGATCCCGGGTATCGGATCGAGAATACTCTCGACAAGATCAGAGACGTCGCTGGTGGTGGATACCCCAGTGCAGATGAATGAATCGGTGTCCAGGGTGCAGGGAAAAGCACCACCGAGGACACGTCCAATGGCACCGTTGGTGAGTTTCTGGCCGTAATTCCAGCCGTCCACACCCTTCTGAACTCCTTCGGACAGAGGTCCTCCGAGGAGAGGAATTTTCAGCAGGATCCCTTCGGTTTTTCCGACGATGCCGTCACCACCTCCATCGCTACCTCCATCGCTACTTCCATCGGTACCTCCGTCGCTACCTCCATCGCTACCTCCATCGCTACCAGTGCCTGCACCTCCTGTATGTCCTCCATTTCCTTCAGACCCTCCACCCTTTCCACCCTTTCCCCCCTTTCCGCCCTTTCCGCCCTTTCCACCCTTGGGTGATCCAGATTTTTCTTCACTACTGCTGCTACTACTGCTGCTATTATCTCTTCGTCGGCGCACCGCTGCAATAAAAATCATTGAGTACCCAAGTGGTAAAACGAGCTAAATGGAATTTTTTAAATAAGTTTAATATTGATTATCTCAAAATCAATGAATTGGCGATGAAATATCAAGTGACTTTATCTCAGGAATTTCAATGCGATTTTTCAAAAATCCTCTAGTACTTTCTTCTCAACTCGATACTCTTCGAGATGAATCGATTATTTAAAATAGTAAATTTGAATTATTTCACTTCACCACTTGATTACTGAATTATTCGGTAAAATGTCCTCAAAATCCAGAGGCAACTTACGCGCTGCCGCACTGGTGAGCTCGAGGAGCAGAACTAGCACCAGTATGACGACATATTTGTTATTCATCAACCTCATGATGTAGACTGCCCTAAACCGGAGCAACAGGCACAGTGAAAATGAAAAAAAGCTGTAGTACCTCCTTATATAAGATCGGTACGGTTAGCGCACTTGATTTGACTTCACCACCGATAATAGTCTGACTAAACATGGGTTTTTGTCAACTCGTACTACTTGAGGTAGGGGAGGAAGCAAGGAGAAATGGTAAGAAAATTACAGCCACTTGTTTTTTTCATGCACGCGGTATTCGATGGCTCAAATCGTTTGTCAATTTCTTTCCCTTGCGTGGCTTATCGCTTCACCTTGCAGGCGACTTTATCATTTTGCCACGAAGAAATAATGAAGGTGAACGTCAAACTCTGAAGGCTTTTAAGCCATTGGGGAAATTGTTTTAAAAATAAATAATTGTTCTCAAGAAATACCATGGTATTTTTCTCTCAATAATGGATTACCTATTGCAGTAGTAATTAAGCAATATGCTGGAAAAATTAATTAATTATAAATTTATGCTTTGATTATAAATCAGAGATAGAGGTAACTGGTAGTAAGTAGTCCTAAACTAGCGGACTGATGTAAGTTTTCACGGAATATCTCCGAATGTAAGGGAGATTGCGATTTTTTAATGGAGAGCTTATTTGGCGAGGAACTAGGAACTAGGTTTAGGGTGGATGTGATTTTCTTCTTTCAAATATCAAATATCAATGCTAATTTATTCGCAGGGCTGAACCACACGCAATCAATTCTACTAATAATTTGTCTCTTGTTGATCGTACTGAGTTAAATCAATTGTCTAATTGTTTTGCACTGTTGAGTCATTGATTGCATTACGTAACAATAAAGCGATTTCTTTTTAATGAAT